TTATTATTATTATTATTATTATTATTATTAGAATATCGTAAAATAAGTAATTAACAATGCACATGCAAGAGACAAAAATAAAAAAAGAAATTTATTAAATTTTCATTTTTTCCGTTTTTCTTTTTTTGTCTTTTAATTCATCTCTGCGATTCTTTCCGATTTGATTTCGGTTCAATTATATTAAAAGTACATATGTTCCAACAATTAGTCCTTAAACAAAATGCTTTATTAATTTTAGTTTTTCAAATTATTTATCTGTTGTTTAACGGAAATTATGATAACATCCCTGATGAATCATATGTTCAAATAACGAAATAAATTCTCATAAAATAGCTTCTACATCCAGTTATTAATTAGCATATTGTTGATAGAAGCATATGATTCATTCAGACTTGAATCAGCCTATTTTTTGTGGAGTTCGATAATAGTGAACACCTATTATGATCTTGCTAAAATACAAGCTAAATCGTTGAATGTATTAAAGTAGGAAAAAGATATCAAGATGACAGTACAATTTATGCAAATGTAATTTAAATCTATGATAATATCTGCAAGTGCTATCAATGTTAGTAAGCATCTTTTAATCATACTCTTGTTAGAATAATTATTTAATTAAATAGCAATTAGCTATTTCTTATCATCAAGAGAGAATGGAAGAATAACAAATTGTTGATGAAAAACTTTGAATTGACAAATTGTTTACAAAATATTGTTTATCGTTTTTTCCTTTAAAAACAAATGCAATGAAATCAAGTAATCCATTAAATAATTATTTACAATTCTATCTTACCTACTTTTTACCTCTTCCTCCTTTTTTTTTATCTTTATCTCTTCCCTCTTTTCGATTATTTTACGATATGTTTCCATTAGATATAATGGCAAAAACAGGGAAAAACTGATTTACAAATACAAAATATTTCAATAAATATTCTACTGAGTATGTCATATTATGCAAATGCAAAATTCAAAATTATTTGAAATTGCTTTGTAATTTCTTCTTTCATTACTTTGCATGCTTTTTCGGTAATTTTTCATTGTGAAAATCATTCATTTTCTCCTCCTCGTATTATTGTTGTCCTTGTTCTTCTTGTTTTTATCTATTTTTTTTTTTTTTCACTGGTAAGATCTTTTGGCAGCATGTAAAGGAGCAACTTATGATCATATCGATTTCTACTGACCGGAAGATAGTAACCGAACAAAGTGTATGCACATTGAGGTATGCTTGCTATATAATTGTCCTTTTTTGCATATTTCATGTTATACAAATATTACAAATTTTAATTTTGGAATTAATTGACATTGTACGCCTTCTTCTTAATTTGGCCTATTTTTTTTTCATTTTCATTAAGATAAAGTAATAATTTTAATTAGGATTTTGGATAAAATTATTATTATTTCAGTAAAATATTTTAATCGAAAGCATGGAGCACTGAATTGTTTAATTGGAGCATTTTGCAAAATAGCATTCCCTTTAAATTTCACTTTCTTTCATTTTCTTTCAATTTCTTAAAAAGCTATTAACTTAATCGACATTTTAGCTTTCTCAGTTTTGTTCGGTCAAAACTCCACCGCAAATGGACTAATGTATAGATCGTAAAGTCGATATCCCCAATGTAATTACATGTGTCGTAGAAAACGAAGCC